GCCGTGATACAGCTACGCACTGATATATATGCGCGAAAGCAGGGACAACCTGGATTTACTAGGAATTACACTGAAATATCCCCCCTCCCGCAACACTTTCTACATGTTGATTCAATCTCTCCTGACTTCGAGATAGGGTAATTTTGGGGTGGGGATCACAAATATATCGTTGGAATGTCCCAGTTTTGATTTGCAATGGACTTTCAGCTGCTCAAAAGCTGACGGTAGCTGAGCAATTTCAAAATTCTTGGGATGTTGGATTCTCGGTTCCCACGTCGAGTTTTTGTCTGAGCAACTTTCTGAGTGGCTCTACCCCCTCTAAATCGGCCAAGCGGAATCGATTGCCGAGGAGAAATGGAGGCGCCGAAATCGGCAACGCGGTGAAAAAAAACGATCAAGGCGATCCGATCATATTTTTTTTTGTTTCTCTTTTTTTCATGCTTTTAAACGTCGTTTTAGACATTATCCAAAAACGGTTGTTCATTCGAGGTTTTCCTCGCCGCGGGAGAGACAAATCGTCTTTACCGCGGAACACCCCTGTAGGGTAATAACAGAGGGTAATTACCCCCGGTATAGGTCTGTGAGTACCCTACAGAACCCGCCCTTGCATTTTTTTTTGGGGGGGGGGGGCTTCGTACGTCATGCAATGACCGTGGACGGCGATAGAGCGATTTCGATCACCAAAATAGCCTCTGCGCTTAAATAGTCCAAACCGAAACTATATTGCCGGATGTCCAAATCGGTACCTTATCCCCGGACAGACTGGTATGTCTGTTCCGAAGTGACGGTTCGTGTCAGCTAAATAACGTCATTCGAGATACAGATTACGCCGCACGTCTAGAATAGGCTGTTGTGGGAGGCCCTCTCCGTGACTCTTTGTATCTCTCTGCTGTGTCTCGTCCTCGAGTTCTTGCGATGTCTCTGCTATGCGAGGCAAGCCGAAAACACACGAGTAAAACGGTTTCCCCTCGCTGGCTCGCTGGCGCAGCAGTACAGAGAGGGATGAACCAGGGATGAATAATACATTACAGGTGCCGCAGTGTAGTCTAGACTAGACTATCTACCAACACACGCTTTCGATCTACAATTCCTGTATCGATGAACATTTGCTGCCCTCGCATAGTGGAGAGGAGCGGCACCGGCCAGCACCGGCGGGCACCGGCCACTGTCCTTGTTTTCAGCGCGCACCGTTGCTGTACAGCAGTAGTGCTGTCACGCTGTAGAACACCCCTTCCTTCCTTGTTTTTCATAATCTACATCAACAAGCAACGTTTCCGCCCGCTTGCATGACTGTTGGCGCCGGCTGCTGTTTGTGGCGGTACTGTTTGCTTCTGTGGCGCTGACGCCCCATTTATTGAGTGTTCTGTATGTGCTCTTGTCTCTCGGACGGGGGGGGGCTTCAGAAGGGTTGAGGGTGGTAGTCTATGCCAGACGAAAAGAAGCACGTTCTACAGGAAAGAGGTGACTGCGTTTGATGTCGTCGCTAGCATAATCCTACTTGTTTGCTGTGTTGTGTGCCATCTCTCGTCACTGCTGCGAACTGCTGCTATTAGTTGTAGTACAGACCTCATGCACCACTGCATGCATTTATTTCCTCTACCTTCGTGGTTGTATTGATGAGATGAGTCCGATACACCATGCGTCCGGCGATATAGAGTCTGTATCGCAACTGATATATATATCGTACTCCAGAGACTTACACCTACTCTAGCATATAGACTATCTAAATTATATGTGCTTTGTCTCGAAATCTTCCATATGCCACCCAGATTAACATTCCCGAGAGCGAACCGCTCAATCGACTTTTCCCCTCTTTTCCACGTCTGTTCTCTATTCACGCGCGACAGTAGTGCGTCTTACAGTAGTCTAGACTAGTCTCATCAGCCTCCCGATAAATAATCGAGGTAACATTTCCTCCTGATCTTCCCTCGCAAGCACGGGGAAATTTAGAAAAGGGGGGTTAGGAGCAGCCTGGGCTACCCCCAGGTCATTTTTTTATAGTTGATTGTTGTTTTGTGAAGAAACCCGTCAAGCTTGCTACTATTGATTTGGTGCTGGGCCCCGGCGCCCAAAGGGACCTATTTCTTCGACTTTTGGGGCTTTGTGGTGCGGTGACAACTTCGAGCTTCGAGTTCACAAACACACCTCGTGAGTCGTGTATTCATGTCAACGACTGCTGTCTTGTGAACTGCTGTCTGGTGCACCCGGCGTCCCCACACGCCCAACACGGGGCGTGGCTTTTTCCTGTGGCCTGCGGTTGCTTGTCCGTAATTGCATAATTTTCAATGGTGGTGTTTTTGAGGCCTTGCGTTTCCCAGAAAACAATCCCTGCAACGTCTAAAACTGGAGCTCCGGACCTCTGAGATAGCGCGGGCGGTACACCTGCGTGACATCCCAAGCTGCTGTGGACTAAATGAACACTCAACCCTTCAAGTACCCGCTCCGCTGAACCCCTGCGCACAGCATGTTCAAAAGTGGCAGGTCAAAAGCGTCGTTTCTAGATGCAGCGAAAACAAGTAGACGTCCAAATCACGCGGAAACACCGGGATGGGGGTGGGATCGGATAATGGTTGGTCTTGAGGAACTCCTTTTCGGGCCCGGTACTCTACAATAGGCCCCCCTCAGTAGTGCACTGTACCAGGCGCGTACGCTATCCGTGAAGAGTGCAGTATCCGGCCTTCATGAGCTTTCTAAACAATGATGCCCGGTTGCCGCGCTATTATGGGACGGCTGAGATCGGGTGTCTAGTATTTTCCAAGCCGTCCCTGGAGGCACGCGAGAGTGCCGCCATCGCCCACTCGTAAGGACCAAACCGCCTTGGTTCACAGGTGGGGGCCGAGGTCCTGCGATGCTGAACGCGTTTGCAGACCAAGAAGAAACAGTTTGCGGCGTTCCTCTATGAAGACAACAGCACGCATGCACGGGGTGACATCCAGCGTTGGGTCACGTTTTCTTCGTTTGTTTACTTGTTTTCGTTCTCGGACTTAGACTATGTTGTTCAACCTTGCCAACTAGTTCCGCTTCAAACTTGCATACGGTTTCTTACCCCTTCTGTTTTTCAAACGAGTACGACGCGTCTAACCCGGTCTGAACTGCGTACACTCCCAGGAGCAACATGTCTGCTAAGCTGGTATTGGGCGTCGTCGCAATACTTGTGAGCGTGCTAAGTGCCCTCTGGACAGCGTACAGCACTTGGCAACACGGCGTCGAAGAAAAGCGCACCGCAGCTGCTCGCGCAGAGGAGACCCTTCACACGATGTACAGCAAGGATATGCAGAAAGCCATGGCATTTATCAGATTTCATGCGCAAGTCCCAGGCACACAGATATCAACCAAACCTGGCAGACTTCATGGGGTACCCTCGACATGTGAATAGTATCCATGGTGATCGTGGCATTCCATACGTTCATTTTGTCATTTTACGGGGAAATTATGTTGTGTTGATGGCACCTACAGCCATTCGGCTACGCTGCCAGGGTGTGGAGATATCACCCTGGCAAGGTCACCCTGGAAGACTACGCTGCAGGCTTGACCCGCCTGCAGGGTGGGTACCCCGCCAGGGTACTGATCCCACACCCTGTACGTACCGTGCCACTCAGGGACCTTGGCGGGGTGCACACCCTGGGAAAACCCTGTAGAGACCATGGCAGCGGTACTAACGGCGCCGAAATATGGAGATTTTCTTTTGAATATTTCGGTCATTTATGTTCTTGTTGAGCCCCTCGAAGCAGCATATAGTGTTCCTACACGTACAAAAACGCTCAAGCTCATCCACGCCATTTACAGTAGGATGCATCCCAAAACCCAATCCATAAAAAAAAATCCACAATAATATTGGGGCTCATAACCCAAACTTCGACGACCACGTTCGACATTGCAAAACGTAGTCACGACGTGCACCAACCAACTCAGGACGCATCGTGAACCACACCATCTATGAACGAACATAAAAGCAACAAAAGAAGTTCCAAAACAAATTGTATCAACACATTCCTTCACTACCGAAAAATCGCACCCCTTGCCTTCAGGTTCACGCAATTTGTATCTACCCGCTCAAGCCCACATTCTTGTGCATACGGAGAGACTCAACTCAATGAAAAAAAGGTCCGGCCAAACCTACTTGCCCGTTGTCCGTGACACCGCCATACTTGGGTGCCCCTCCCCACGGCGACACGCAAAATAACCTCTGCGTTGTGTGTATCACGTCCAAGGTACGCACGCACTTACTTACCGAATTGCAGGCGTATGGCGCGTGCCGCAATAACACACGTGACCAAAGAAAAGTTTCACCGGTTCACGAAATAGACTGCCCATAGACTATTGCTGAACGCTATGTACAAGCAACCTGCTTCCTCCCACTCCCACCAAGCACCATATCAAGCGCTAAGTCCGAGAACATTGCCAGCAATTTCGCGATCCATGCGGATGCTGAGCGCTGTTCGGTCCATCTCGTCGAGAAATGCGCCGGGCTCGGCATCGTCGACGTGCACGTCTGCGGCGGTGTCTCCTTCACGATGATTGTCCTCCCTGCAGGCGTACGGGGACAGGAAGGGCATGCTCTTAGGGTTCTGTTTGGGTGCGGTAGCTCGTCAGAGGCCGAAAGAGAAGGAAGGTTGACTCAAGACCTTGTTGCTTAGAGGGTAAGAGACATGCGGTAGGCCACACCATTGCCATGCAGCATGTCTGTCAATACATTCCATCCGCGTACCCCCCGGAGGCCCCGTAGACAGTATACTCTGCCGAGCACCCCAAACAGCCCCCCTGTTCGGTACGAGCTACTATCTACGAAATCCCCGACACGACTATCATCGCCTCTCCCCGGCCGGGGCCCCCTACTGCGCATCCTACGTACGTCCCAGGAAGCCACTGCGCATCGTCATTTGATTTTAGTGTGAATCGGGGCCAAATGCCAGCAATGCAGACTTTTGGGGCACACAACTGGTTCTGCGCCCCGAAAGTTCCAGCGCAGCTTTGATTCTCGAAGATTTTTTTCATCACCACCTAGCAAGCGTCGATAGTAACACCACGCACAACAGCAGCGGACGGTGGCGCAACGGCGGGTCGCCAGCCTGGTTCATGTCTGCAGCTCCCGGGCCAGATGATGATCGCGGCGGCCATGGCAGGGCAGACAGACACAGGTCAGACAGATATGAAGCGCCAGCAAACAAGATGTTCACCTGTCACAT